CAATGGACCAAACAACTATCCTTGAAATGCATTTGCCAACTCTGTGTTAGTACTTATAACTACATAGAATGGAAGAAGTGCCACATATATTGACTTATACCTAATAATTACCTATTAACCTGTAAAATGTAAAGACAAGCCCCCTCTATGCAGATGTAGAATAGGATATTGAACTGATTACAACACAGACAACTTTTGCTATTTTACCATATACCAAGTCTGTAAAAGCTGGACTACATACAGTTGATAGAAAGTGCCGACCAGGGTTAAAATTTCCAGGGAACAACAGTTATAGAAATGGAACTTGTGCCTGCATCTCTATATATCATACCAGAATGATATTCTATTCAATACCCAGAAGTTTAGATTCCTTTCACACATCTTTTCAACTTTTTTATGTCATAGCAGAAAAAAATATGACTATGTAGGCACAGGGATTTTTTTTTTCATTTTTTATTTTTATAGGAAGCACAAGCCAATCAATATCTTTCCAGGTATAAGAAGCAGAAACATGAGTTGCATGAAGCTAAGGAAAGGGCAGAGATAACAGAATCTCAAGTCAATAAATTCAAGATTAAAGCAGAAGAGTTTGGGGAAAAGGTATGTCAAATATTCAACTTGTTCTAATTCTTAATGCATGTGTTTAGAGATCACGTCATCACATGACCAGTTTAACCAGAAATTTCTTGTTTTTCTCTTTAAAGCTAAAACACAGTAACAATTAAAAAAAAGTTTCTAATTAAATATTTGAATGTTGAATTCAATATTCTATTTGTCCAGGTAGTATATTCTATATGTCCAGGTAATATTAATTCTAAATATTCTATTTAGAATTCTAAATTCTATTTGTCCAGGTAGTATTAAGTGCAGAGCATTTGAGCAGGATGTACATTTTTTTGTAATTTTCAAACACTTAATTCTAGGTTAATTTGCAGGCTCTCGATTCCAGCAAACAGATGAATTTGTACAGAACAGTGTGGAGTCCAGAGAGCAAATATGATTTTTAAGGCAGAGATGGATCTGCTTGAAATTACAAGTAAACTTTCTGGGGTATGTAGGCGTGTGACTTTTGTAGCATATCGATATGAAGATCAGGGGGACAGGTTTAAAAGAGGCAGGTAGTAAAACAAATGCAAGAGTCCTGCTTTCTAGTTTTCTGCCCTAAAACACAGTGAAAGGAACTCTCTACATTTGTGGCCCATGAATTGGCTGTTCTGATCCAATGATAGAGACCTTTCCCCTAATTTTACTGGCAAACTGGTAGAGTGTCAAAAAAAAACACTGGTTTGGGCTCTGGTAACAGAATACCAGAGGTTAGGTTACTTATACACAATGAATATTTATCTCCCACACTTTTAGAGGCTGTGAAGTCCAGGAACATGGCACTGGCCAATTCAGTATCTGATAAGGAATACTTCTTGATAGTCTCCTGTCTTTGCACTGTAACTTCACATGTTGGAAAAAAAGCAGGTAGCTCTCTGGACTTTTTTTTTTTTTTTTTTTAATGAAGGTACTAAGCCATTCATGAGGACTCTACCTCACAATTAATCACCCCCAAAGTCCTCATTTCCTAATAACAACACTACAGTATTAGGGTTAGAATGTTGGGATTTCAACAATGGGGATAAAAATATTCAGACCATAGCGTCAGTATAACTTAGCTTCTCATTGAGATTTTCCCAGGAAGACATAGTTTTCAAATGCAGTATGACATAAGGAGAAGTGAGTTAAAGGATATTAGACAACGATATTGGCTTCTCTCTTTGTGTAAAGACTGTCAGACACTTAGCACTGTGTCTAACACAGACAGGCACCATCATTTCACTTGTTAAATGTGGTACGTCTGATCCTCTTTCTTACTGTAGATGCCTATAAAATTTACTACTTTAAGCAAGGTCAAAGGATCTCTTTTATAGGAGAAATTAAAGGTTGATAATATTGAATATATTTAGATCTAAATATGAAAAGTATGAGTCAATGGCAGACTCCAGAGATTTTCTTATTGATGTCTTGGCTATAAAGCATATATGGAGAAGTTAAGTGGTTTGAACTCTGGCCTCAATTTGAGAAAGGTTTTGGCATTGGATTTGGGGTCTTCTGTGCTGGTCTGCCCAGCAACTCCATACAATGGATTTGTTTAGGACAAGTCTCATATGTGCTGCAACTGCACTCAGCTGCCGAAAGTCAAAGGGTCTCCAAAACAGATGTAATGCATTCGACTTTGTCACAGTTATTTCCAACAAAGAATAAAATGCGTGAAGCAGAAATTGCCTCCAAGAGGCCAGAGATGAATTAGAAAACTGTCCTTGGCAATGCAATGACTAATTGTTTCCATTCACAGAAGGAAAGTCTGAAACTCTCTCAACTGTCATAAACCAAAGGAAAGGATTTTCTGATAAAATTATGTCAGGTCTGTGAAGCGAATTGGTAATGGAACTATAGTCTGTCCCTTCATGGAGTCTTGTAAAAAGGGTAGTGCCTTCACTGGCAAAGACAGACAAGGTGGGCAGATAATTTAGAATGACCAAGCATGCCCTTGGGGTGAATTACCTACCGATGTCTGATGTCTGCTTTCCATAATGTACATAATTGCCTCAAATCCCTGCTTCTCTCTGAAGCTAATGAAGAGTTGGCTAAGGCCTGCTTACCGCTGGAAAGGACTGGGCTTGGCTCTGGGTGCTAAAAATCACAGGAGTCTCACAGAACACACCAATCATTCTTTCAGGTTCATGTGAACTAAGCAGTCCTTGCCTGTGAAGGACAATGCTGGAGAAGTACAAGTACACCAGGTCAAAAAATAAAGTTGAAACAGAAAGACATATTTATGTGGTGTGAAAACAATTTATACAAGGCGATTCGAAAAATGCAATAAAGGGAATATTGTTGCATCCAAGAAGGATGATTTTTTGATTCTCAAATACAAGTAAACATTTTACATGAAAGATTGAGAATCTTTTAAATTCTAAAGTTAAAAAAGCAAGTTAATACTTATTCTCATGTCCCTATTGCCTCCAAATGTAATACTCATAGAAGTTATACTTTAACCAGTTATAGTCATGGAGACCAGGGCATGTTGGTAAAAGACTTTAATTAGAATTACTGAACTTTGCTCGACTCATCCACATCCACCTATGAGTCAGTATTTTTAGCTACAGAGGGCAGGCATTGATAAACTTTTCTCTTAAGATATATTTTTAAATATTTAAAAACTTTTACTGTGATATAACTATAGTCACACTTAGTTACTTTGTACTTTTAGGTAAAACACTCCTAATAATTTGCAAGGAAAAAAAATTGGGAGGCAGAAATGAAGCAGCTTTTTTTTTTTTTAAGATTTATTTATGTACACAAGAGCTGGGGTACAGGGAAGAGGTGTTGGGGTTGGGGAGGAGGATTTACTAGAGACAGAGTGGGGAACAGAACACTCAGAGTAACTGAAATACACCGCTGAGGGGAGCAGCAGGTGAGTCAGGAGAGGTCTGCTACACCATGTGGGTATCTCCCTGGCCGGGGATCGAACTCATGCTGCAGTGGCTGTGAATAGCTTTATAGATTGCGTCTTAACCCCTTGCACCACCAGGGAGGCCCCAGCTGTTTATTTTTGCTCTTAAACTCAGTTATGGCTCCCAGCACTAATAGTTGGCAAATATAATTCCAGGCAAAAGGGTGAGCTAGCAGAGATCAACAGGAGCTCCCTGGATGCACAACTCTTCCAGCTGCTGTCAGTTTCCTCATCTTTGCAGAGTCCTGTCTGGGACCCTGGGCGACTTCATGGCAACAAGCACCAGCTTCTCCAATAGGTCACCTGTGTCACTGATTTTGAAGACCTTGAGAGACAGGTACAGTTTGTCCATCTTTATTCCATGTCCAGCTCTCCTTCCTTACCACCAGCACAGCTGACCCACAGCAGTGACTCCAGGCCCAGCACCGGAAGTAGAGTGTTGTTACCCCAGTGGCTATGGTTGTGTAAAGGTGAGTATGATAAATCTTCATCATTCTCAGCAGTCTTCCTCTGTGACTTAATCCCCAACTCAAACAGGTGACTGTAAAATGAATTCATGGGCTCAGCAGTGTTGGGCCACAGGCTCCTTCTTGTCTGCCGTCTTCCATGTGTTGGCCCTGGTTTTTAAATTTGCCCCTTTCATCATTGTACGGGGCTACAAACAGTTCTTCTTCTCTCTACATCATGTCATATGGCCCCTTCAAAATCAAGAAGACTTCTGGAACACTTTTCCAATCCTATTAACCACATTTCTTTAGGTGCCTGTGCTGAGACAGACCCGTGTCAAGGAACCTGCTTGCCTGGTTTGACTCAGACAGATCAAGTCTGTTTTTTCCTGACAAGCAAGGCCACTCCAAGCAAGGTGAGCTAAATAAAAGTTCTATAATTTAGGGGATATGGCCACTGAATGAACTACCAAAGATATCTAAATACTGTATCCAGGGCAGTGGTTTTTTCCAGTAATCTTATCTCAATGAGCAAACTCTAAATGCTTAACATGAAACTTTTTGAAGATTTTAAAAAATTAATTATATAAAATTTTGATAAAATATGCTTTCCTAAAAATAATTGAAAGTACCCTTTACTAAGCAAACATTTGCATCTAGGAAACATCTCTATACCCTAAATTTTTTCTTAGAAATTTGCTATATCAGGTTGCCAACCCTGAATGCTGTTGTCCTCTCTCTGTTCCCGGAACCCCAAAGACAGATTCAGTAAAATCAGACAGCAAACTTTAGCTTGGGAACACACATCTGGTTTTGTGATTTATTAAAATAATGTTTTCTCACTTGCATGCACATTTCATATAAAAGGAAGTAAGATTAGTAGGAGTCAGATCTTTCTTTATAGTGATTTCTTAATACTTTATGAAAAACCTGTCACAAGATTGTAGTACTCTGAGCTTATGTAAACGGTATGGGATTGTGCATTCAGGCATTACATCACAATTCAGTTGTTTTTTTGTGTAACTCTACAATCAAAAACTTGATTGTGTAAGTAAAAAAAAAAAAATCTAGTTAGTGACAATTCATAAGAATTAACAGTGACTCTTAAAAATTGATTAAAATGAAGGTTAATAAATCTCTCCTATTAGAAGGTTGATTAACATGATAGACGAGGCAGAGAATCAATTTCACAGCTAGTCACTCAGCTATACACACCTGTTGTTGAAAGGTATAATCCAACCCAGACCTCTAGAGTTCATAGAAGTCTTTGTGTGCATATACTAAATCTAGTCAGTTGAACTGATAGAACCACTCATAGAAAAGTACAATTTTTTATTTTTTTAATATTTATCATTTTTTACATTTTTTAGACTATTTGCTTCCCCCCACTCCCTCAGATTGAGTCCCCATAGAATTTCCTTCCCCAAGGCACCCATGTACCATCACCACAGTCCCCTGTGCTCCTCCCTCTGATCCCTCTCCCTCCTCCTCCCCTGCAGTATGTCTCTGGTTTATAATTGTCTGTTTTTGCTTTGTTGTGTTTTGTACTGTTACTATTATTTTTGTTTACACTGATATCTTATTTGGTTCCCCTATATTCCTGTTATAAATGAAACCATCCAATATTTTTCTTTTTCCTTCTGGCTAATTTCACTGAGCATAATTCCTTCTAGCTCCATCCATGTTGCTGTGAATGGCATGAGCTTATCTTTTTTATTGCTAAATAATATTCCATTGTGTGTATATATATGACATCTTCTTGATCCAGTCATCTGTTTTTGGGCATTTGGGTTGTTTCCAGGTTTTACCTATTGTAAATAGTGCTGCAATAAACATAGGTGTACAGGTGTTTTGAATCACTGTTTTTGTGTCCTTTGGGTAGATCCATAGTAGTGGAATTGCCGGACCATATGGTAGCTCCATTTTTAGTAGACTGAGAAAGCTTCAGACAGCTTTCCACTGTGGTTGGACCTGTCTTCACTCCCACCAGCAATGCAGGACCCTTCCTGAAAAGTACAATATTTTAGAAAATAAGTTGCTTCAGTTTCCATGCTCTGGTTTTTCACATTTTCACTAAGGTAACTTCTGCTCCTACCTGCTCCTTCACCTGTCATTCATTGAATCAGCTCATAGGGGATAGACTTTTTACAAGTTCTTGATAGAAACTTTACAGTAGTTTCCTGGGCTGATTGCAACAGGAGTGAAAATGAATGAGACAATTCTATTTGAGCTGAATGGAACTCCTTGGCATGCAGGCATTGATAATCTTGATGCAGGTAGAGTGTCAATGAATGGTGCTTAGGTCATTAGGAGTGACTATAATACTGGAAAAAATAGTTGCAGATGTTTGCCATCATTGACAGGAATAACAAAGGGGAGGTGAGGTCACTGGATATTAAGGATGCTTGTCATCCTTATTTCCTTTGTCATCCTATTTTCCTTTCATGCTTTGGTTGGTCACCTCCTGAGAGGCTAGAATCAAGGAAAATGGACACTAATGGCTATTGTCAGAGTCAGACTAGCAACTTAAGTATTTAATGATAGTGTTTTGCTTTGCTTTCTTTGTTTTTGAGGAGGGAGCTTTAAGTAGTTATGAAGTTTGGGTTTTATCAATTAATTTTAATCTCCTTGCTAGATGTACCTGAGTTTTTAACAAACAGGAAAACAAGTTTATCCCATTCTGCTCTTATTTATGTTCTGATTAATGGAATTCATAAATAGTAAAATGTATGCAGCAAAGAGCATATACTGTCAAACCACAATTCAAGATCAGCAGTCTGAATCTGGGCAGAAACTGTAGTCTGCCTTTCTCCACTTTATCTGTGACTACATTTCTTTCCACTTCTGATGGAAACATGGGATAAGATATAAGAATTAGTACAGGGGCCTCCCCTGGTGGCGCAGCGGTTGAGTGCTGGGCTGCAAAGCTGCCCACAGCCTCCGCAGCGCTGGTTCGATACCCGGCCGCCTGCGAGGGTCCCACGTGGCGTGACAGATCTCTCCTGCCATGTCCGCTGCTCCCATCAGCAGTGTATTTTGTCAGTCTACCTGTTCTGTTCCCTGCTCTGGTGAATTCTCACCCTCCCGTGCTTCTGACTGTACCTAGTGCTTGTATAAATAAATAAATAAATCTTAAAAAAAAAAATAGTACATTGGTGTCCCCTTGTAAACACAGGGCCATTGGAGATCTACTATATAAATAACTATAGGTGAGAAAAACAACCATTTAAGAGGTTCTTCTTGCTTAAAAAATTAGACATTGGGGGCCTCCCCGGTAGCGCAGTGGCTGAGCGCTGGGTTGCGAAACTGCCCACAGCCTCTGAAACACTGGTTCGATCCCTGGCCGCCAGGCAAGGATCCCACATGGCGCGCAGACCTCTCCTGCTGCCTGCTGCTCCCCTCAGCAGTTCCCCACTCTGGTGAATTCTCTCACCCTCCTGCGCTTCTGACTGTACCCAGTGCTTGTATAAATAAATCTTAAAAAAAAAAATTAGACATTGGGAAGAGCCTAGTTGTATTTTATCCTATTAGACTGTCTTTTTATGAGTCTTGTATGATGATCTGTAAATCAGTAAAACTTCAATTACTATTAAAATATTGCTCTTATATTATAAATGGTTAGAGAAAGGAAATTACTTACGTTTATTTCTTCTGCATTATCAGTACTGGACATTTCTGTAAGGAAAAAGAAATTTAAAATTATGTTACTAGAATCACCTTAGTTACCTTCCATTTTTCTAACGGCATTATGAATGTATTCAGTATAGAAAAAATCAGAAACAAACAATACTAAATGCTTATGGCTGATTCAAAGGGGAAATTAAAGGCAGCTCAACCTTGCCAGGACTCTCTGGTTTTTAGGATTATTGGCCTGATTCCTACTAATTTTTATTAGTGGAAAATAAGTCAACAAATTGATGGGTAAACTGAAAGATGGTTAAGGAAAGGGGATACAATGTCGTTTCTTAAAGAAGCCCTTCCTAGGTCCTGCTAAAAGATTTTTTTCTTTTTTACATATCCAAGACTAAGGACATTTTAAAACAGTAGTGTGAAAAGAATAGTAAACAAGAAAACATGTAAATCATCATCGTATGAAGCTGTAATCAGGGACCTGAAGATAGGTAAGACAGATATATTTTCAGCTCATCTAACTACAGAACTATAGAATAATTCCTGTTTTAAAAAAGTGGCCAATACCTTGTTGTCTTCTTTGATCTCCTCCTCCAGAATTAGAAACTGTCAAGGGAAGAGAAAAAAACAGGTATTTATTCTTTCAGTTTCTTCCCTTTAAGATCAGCAGGTTTTGAGTACCTCTCCCTCACCCTGTCCCTTTAGGTTTAGGTTTGCTAGCACATTGTCTGCTCCCAGCTCTGAGAGGGTGCACTGTTCTGCCTGGTTTGCATGTGCTATGTATTTTCTGGTGGGCCCTGACTTGGATATCTTTAATGCCCCATTTCCTGAACACCAGGAGAAAGCCCAAGTTCTTCATGAGATATTACCTGCACTAGGACTGGGGTGTCTTCTTAATTTATGAACCTTGACCACTATGCCCACCATGACCACCAAGACCACCAAGACCACCAAGATGACCACCAAGACCACTACATTATTCCAGACAGCTGCTTCTAAATAAAACAAACAAAATCTATGTTAGAAGATTACAGGAAAAAAAAATGGATGGGTAGGTAGACTATTTTTACTATTTCAAAAACTATTTCTGCATTCTGGATAGGAGGTAGGTTTCATATTAGTAAAAACACTTTTCATAATGAAAAGATCCATTACACATATGGGCAAGAGGCCTGTCTGAACCAAGGTTTTCATGAGCATATATATACCTCAGTCTCAGTGTTCCTATTGTGAGAAACCTGCAAATACTATTCAGCAGTTTGGGGCTTGGTGAGGGTGGAAGTCAGGAGATAAAATGTGTGAACACTAGAGATGGGTGATGTATCTATTGTGGATTTTAATTTTGTATTTTATGTTGCAGTAAGACAATTAATGCAATTTATAATGGAATAATTATGACAGAGGCTAGTTAGCCTCTGTCCAGACATTACCTTGGGGAATTCTGGGTTTGCATAGTACAACATTGCCTTGAAGATAGGGTCCCAGAGGAATAATGATAAGGAGTAGGGGGGTGATGGGAAGAGCCAAGGAGAATCTGTGGTCTTGGGTGACAGGTGACCACTGAGGTAACAGACAGTGCTTGGATCTGCTAAGGATTAACTGAAAAAAATTTTTTTCCAGTATCTTACTTAGACATAGAACTATTGTATTAGTATTAAAGTGGAAACCCCAGAGACAAAAACTTGGAGACCTTAAGTTGCCAAAGTCAGAACCCTGCTTATTTTGTTATCTATGTTCTCCTGGTCAAGGCAGCAAGTAGAAAATAGCCATTTAAAATAGAAAAACAAGTTTCTTTGAAAGAGTGATGTCCAGGGTCCTCGGACTGGTTGCCTGCTGGGTCTTTCTGCAACAGGTGTCTGGTGGGAGATGCCACATTTAAAAGGAGGCAAATCTCTTTACAAGTAAGTATGTGCCTCAATTTTCACAACTAGAATGATAGATTTGTTTTTGTGAAATATGTATGTTCTATCAACTCAATTACCTTTGGTAAAGTCTAGAGACCTATGTTGGTCTTCCTAGGCCAAGTTAACAGTTTAAGGATCAACCAGCCCACCTAGAAAGGCAACTGCATGAGTTCTCCTGACTCTATGGATAGTGGTCTGAAAATATTTTGGGTTTTGGCAGTTAGCTAGCAATAGAGGTTAAAAAAAAAAAAAAAGAGTTGCATCGGCATACACTTAGTTTTTTATGTACTTTGGTGACTATTTCTACCATGTTCACAGACCTCTCTTTCCCAGAGTCCAGTAGAACCCCAATTCTCACTTCCTACTGTTCCTATAGCCATAAATACCCAAAGCCCAGACCCTAAGGCACGTATTAGGCCCAGTGCTAAACAGAATTTGAAGTCCACAGAGTCACCAAAATGTGTAACCTCAGGTTATTTCTGAAGCTTTGAAAAGAAAATCATGGAGAATATGTTTTCTTTCAATGCAGGGTTTTTGTGTGGTTAAGGAAGGAGATTGGTTATATCTGGTCTAGGTCTTAACCAGAAATGTTATTTCTATAAATAACATTTTCAAAACTTTCTTTTTTTTATTATTTATTTTATTTATTTGTTTGTTTGTTTGTTTATACAAGCACTGGGTACAGTCAGAAGCGTGGGAAGGTGAGAGAATTCACCAGAGTCAGAGCGGGGAGCAGAGCAGGCAGAAGGACCGAAGTACACTGCTGAGGGGAGCAGCGGGCGACAGGAGAGGTCTGTGCCATGTGGGACCCTCCTCCGGTGGCCGGGGAGCAGCCGGGGATCGAACTGGCGCTGCAGAGGCCGAGGGCAGCTTCGCAACCCAGCTCTCAACCGCTGTGCCACTGGGGAGGCCCAAAAACTAACTTTCTTAATGTCAATCTAATTTTTCTGTTTGATATTAACAGTTTCTACTGCCATAGTCAAAACCCACTAGCCAATCCTATTGTAACTTACCTGCTACATGCAGCGTTTGGATGGTGAGTAAAGTATATGTGCTTGAGGAAATATTGCATAAGTATTCTCCATTGTCTGGAATGCTAAGATCTTTCAATATGGAAGAGAAATCTCCCTGGATTATTAGCTCTTTCTTCCATGATAGTCTGGGTTCACTGATAGTTATATTTTGTGAGGAGTTCACAAAGTAAGCCAGGATGTTGGGAATCCCATTTTCCATTCTGGACCAGGTGACTATGAAGTCTTGATTTGGTAGGAAAAAATTGTTTGGAACGTCACATGAGAATAAAACTTGTTCACTTTGCTTTGTATGAAGATCATCTAACAACAGAAAAGGAAACACCCATGAAAAAATTTCAAATGAATTTTCTAAGTGGCACTTGGAAAATGAATTTAGAAGGAATGTTTCTGAGAAGCAATTAGATATTTGAGCTATGGAATTTCTTAAAGGCTTTACTACCACTATTTTAAAGTCTCCCACAAAGGCACTTAAGGTGGTCTAAGCTTGGGCACTGAGGTGATAAACCTGGGTTTTAACTCTTACAACCTTATAGTGAGAACTCATAAATGTTACTCAGTGTTCTTCTGTTGGCAACTCAAATTCTGATGTTCCCCAGAACCTCCTCATTTTCCGCTAGCTATTCCTAGTTACCTCGATTACTTTTGTGGTCTTAACCCTGTGGATCACTCTGGACATAGTCTCTTTTCCCATGAATAACAAGCATTTTCCCTTGGCAGATTCAAAATTGTGGCATAGGAAGAACCTGTACTCGCCTCTTCCCATGGACACACGAAATCTGCAACTAAACATGGATTTATTTACACAAAAGTAGACATAAAATCTGGATGAACAGAGTATCCACAAAGAAGGTAAGAAATCAGTACCCAGTGGAACTGGAGATGCAGAGCCTACTCTTGCCAAGGAAGAAATTCCAACCTGGGGACAGTGAGGTCCAGTCAGGATAAGATCTCTAAGGTATGGAATTTCTCCCTGGGGAGCAGAGAGAAGGCCTCAACTCTTTAATCTAGAACAGCAGGCACTGAAGTTAAAGAGACCAGCTCCAGTCATGCCCAACCAAAGTGAACAGAATTTTTCCTCCTTGTGAATGCTACCTTCCTAATTTACTTTTTTTTTTTTTTTTACAATATCTATTACACAGTCTGAGAGTGACAGAGCTTGGTACATAATAGATCCTCAACAGACGAAATAGCATTAAACTTAAGGAATGACTCATGCTTCAGGATATTTCTAAATAAATATGGGAAATGAAAATTTTCCAAAGAAAATGTTTAAATTTAATAACACTTTCAACCCTTTCCTTTTATTATGTTGCTACCTGATGAAAAGTCAATAATGGGTTCCAGTATCTTTAACACTGTTTACACTAAAACAAATTTACTGTTTTCTTGATGACCATTTTGAAAATATGAAATTTAGAGCAAGAGATGGCCAAAAAGAGAGCTAACCTCTACTTTCCCTATATGATGGAGAATTATAGAAAAAAAATTGTTATAATTTTCCTTGGACTTGGACTAGTGTCTTACAACTTTTCTTACCCTTAGTCTTGTCTTAAGATATAGATCAGAGTTTGGGTTTGTTCGGATAAATAAAAGGAAGGAATTTTAAAAGCTATTTATGTTGATAAAGACTAATGGGCCACTACTATGGAAAAAGACTGAATGAAAGCAATGTTATCAATGTTAATTTTTATTTAGTTGAAAGACTGACCAAGAATTAGTGGTTGTGCCCTAATATGCATTCTTTCTGTCTCCTCTGATCTTTTCAAGTTCAGTGCAAGTAGAAAATTTCTGGAGAAGATGAACCATAGTGAAATACAGAGCCACTCAGATTTCCATTTCACAAGTTTTTTCTTTCAACTCATCTTCCAAGGTAAGAATTACTTTCATTTTATCAAGAAGGAACTAATACTCAGAAGTAAAAATAATTACTTTAGGTAATATAGCCAATAACTATTAGACCTGAGATTCCAGTCTTGGTTTTAACTGCCACAAAACTATCTTCTTTTCTGTTCCTTTCTCTCCCTGTAAACCAAACCCCATTCTCTCCCAAGCTCTGACATAACCCATGTACACGAAAGCCCCATGGCGCTTACCTTTCATCGTCCAACGCCCTTTCCATGTTTGCTCGAACAATGAATTTTTAATAGCACATTCATAATATGAATCTGGTCCTGTAATATTTACTGTGCTGTTAATATAAAAAGAACCCAAAGACCCAATTTCTTCAACCTTGCTGTCAGGAATGTGTGTATTGTTCATGTGCCATGTGATACTTGGACGAGGATAAACACTTAATATGCTACATATTAAGATGCTGCTTGTGTTCCTTTTTTCATACTTCATCACAGGTGTGACAAAAGCTAAGGAAAAGAAAGAAAGGCACATGAAGAACTGTATAATCAGTTTCTCTTTAGGCCATCTGTGCAGAACACTTGATATTTTAATACCCAAGAGATGAAAAGCTAAACCTTCGAGTAAAACTTAGTGGTTATAATGTGATTACCAGCAAAAGGAAAAAGAGCATGCACTGGTAACTGGGAACTAGCAATTTCAGTTCTCTAGAAAGAATTCCACAAAAAAAAATCTAATGGCCTTAGTGAGCAACCAAAACGTGCATGCCAAAGTCTATAAACCAGGGCAGGTACAGCACTCTGAACATATCAGGTACTGACTTGGAGCCTTCCTGACTGTTTATGCAGAATTCTTAGATTTCTGAGTCAAGGTCTGAAGCAGCTAAATGCTGGATTAGACAACCTATTAGCACATGCCCCTCCTCCTAATAGTTTATTTTAAAATGATACGCTTTCCTTCACAAATTAACTTCACTTAGAAAATGAAGTAAGAATTTAAATTAGTAATTCAAGATTTTAAGTTCAGTAATATTAAGTGTTTAGACTAAGGGGGAGAATGTACATGCACTTATGCTACTGGTGGCAGCAATATATTAAAATCTTCTATTTTTCTTTCAGATGTTTATAACATTTTTGGTAAAACACTGTAAATACCTGAATATCCACCAATGGGAAAACTGGTATACAGTCATAGCATGTCCATAGTACATGCTACTGTGCATTATAAATAATGAGGTAGGTATCTATGTGTTGACTTGGAAGGAAATCTAGAGCATGTTAGAGAAAGACATTTCAGAAAAAACACAGAGTGATATCATGTCACGTTTTATAAATCCTACATATATACTTACCTCCTACCTTCAGCACCACTTTTTCTCTGAAGCTTCCAGATCTTGTCCCCACATAGCAGGTGTAATTTCCTTCATCCTGAAGGCTTAATCTTCTGAGACATAGGGAAGCATTTCTGTTGTGAATTTCACTATGGAAGAGGGATGTCCTACGTTTGTATCTGGAATCTTGGTTCTCCAAATGGTCACGGTCTTGATAGTATGTATGAACATAGCCAGTATCTTGAATCTTCCAGTGAATAACGATTTCTTCAGGCTCATTGTCAAATGAGCAAGGGAGAATTACATCTTCATTAAGTCTTCCTATGACTGTTTTTTCAATGTTGGTATCAAAATGATTAAATAAATTAAAAAATTGTGGGTCTAAAATCAAAAGCAGAAAAGTTATAAAGAGAATTAGTAATGGATGCCCATCAAGGGTTATGGTAGGACTACACAGAGGAACTGACCGAGGTCAATAGTCTGGTTTTTAACTGACTACATAATCAAGGATCTTGGCTAATATGATTAACTAGAAAGAACCTATGAGAGTCCTTTTGAGTAGCTGTAATTTTAATAGATTACCTGTTTGGGTGTAGCCTAAACAGAGAAACTCTAGTTTGCTATCTGCTTCATTAATGGCCTCACCTTTCCCCTGATCCTGGTCTGCCACAGTCCTGGAAATTACGTTTATGATATATGCAAAAGACTCCCATTCATTGTTATTCCCTGAACACATTCACTTTAGGTAAGTTTTTCTGAATAGTTCAACTATTTATTTTCTCTATATTTCACATATAACTGAAATCATACTTTGTCTGGCTTATTTCACTAAGACTAATACTCCCCTAGATCCATTCCTCTTATTGCAAATGGCAGGAATTCATTTTTTTAAAGCTACATAGGATCCATGTGTATGTGTATATACCATATCTTCCTTATCCATTCATCAATGTAAAGCATTTAGATTGTTTCTAGTTCTTGGCGACTGTAAATACTATAAACATATCACTTTAATATTTTTGTTATTTTTAGGGAAAATACCTAAAAGTAGGATAACTACATCAAATGGAATTTCTGTTTTTAATTTTTTGAGAAATCTCTGTTGTGTTTTCCATAATGGCTACAACAATTTACATTCCCAACAATATATAAGATTCCTTTTTCTCCATATCCTTTCCAATATTTATGATTTGTCTTTTGGAAAATAGCCATTCTCATGGGTATATCTCATTGTTCAGATGTGCATTTCCCTAGTAAAAGAGAGAAATCTTTTCATGTGCCCCTTGGGAATCTATCTGTATGTCATCTTTGTAGAACTATTCAAATCTTCTGCCCATTTTTTAATCAGGTTGTTGGGTTTTCTTGTTGAGTTTTGTGAGTTCATTGTATATTTTGGATATTAACCCCTTGTCAGATATGACATTCAGTAGGATTTTTTTTTTTTTTTAGATTTTTATTTATACAAGAACTGTGGTACAGGCCAGATGCGCGGGAGGGTGAGAGGATTCACCAGAGAGAGCAGGGAACAGAACAGGCAGACGGACTGAAATACACTGCTGAGGGGAGCGGTGGGCAAGACAGGAGAGGTCTGATTGCCATGTGGGTTGCTCCGAGGCCGGCAGAGATCGAACCTGTACTGCAGAGGCTGCGGACAGCTTCACAGCACTGTGCTCAACTGCCTGCGCCACCAGGGAGGCCCCTTTATTTTGTTTTAAGTTTCTTTCACTGTTAAGGAGCTTTTTAGTTTGATATGGCCCCATTTGTTTACCTAGCTATTGGAGTTGAGCCCCTGAACATCTCTCTAAGGGTGATGTATGGTGGTGTATTACCTGTATTTTCTTGTATGTATTTTATGGTTTGGGGCCTTACATCCAAGTCTTTAATACATTTTGAATTATTTTTGCACATTCATTTTTAATACCTACTATAATAACAAACCCTGCTAGTTATAGCTAGTAGGTCTTAAAAGAATATAACTAATTAGTTTGATTTGGTCAAAAATTGTTTGGAGCATGTAAAAGAAATTGCTGGGTTCAGGTAGCTGTTGGAAATATCCAGTCCCTATTTCCATGCAAGAGTCCAAATCTTCTGGTGTGTGTGTGTGGGGTCAACACAAGAGATGATTGTAAAAAGCAAATGGATTCAACATAACAAAGATTTTTGCCAAGAACATATACTTCGCCATTTCATAACCACTGAAGACAAAATCTAGCTTCTTTCACCAATTCACAAAAACACTAAGTAAAACTTCTGCCCTATCTATGGCTCCTGGGATATTAGGACTGGGAAGAACCTTATCTTTTTGGAGTAAACCTCTTTGGACTTTGGCCAAGGTCACCTACAATGGCCAGCCATGTCCCACTTCTCGCCATCAGAGATTATTTTTGTACAAAGGGCTGATGGAAAGATGGAGGGGAAAAGGAATAGTTTTGTCAGCCTCCCTACTTGCACCACTAAATCCCTCTAATATTGCATTGGATAATTAAAAATGCCTGTCATAGGATCTAGCAAAGTTGATAATGCCTTCCATCAAGTGTTGAGTATGTACCAAACTTTTAGTGATTTTAAAGTCTTGATCTGAGTATATAGGAGAATATATGACTTTTAAACTTTTAGGGTTTTTTTGTTTTCTATTATAATAATTAACCTTTTAGAAAAGCCACAAAGCTATGGTTACAGAGGAAACAGCCACCTTGCACTGTGTGCTCATGTTCCTATATACTGACACAAATAACTAACCCTTAGGCGTATTATATAGGAACTTACCTTCAGATGTACTCTGAAAGAGTATAGAAATGAGGAATAAATACAGGACTTTCTGTGACTTCATGTCTCGCAGCGGTCATTTAGTTATACTATCCAAGAGAAGCAAAGTATGCATGTTATCAGTTGTATGGAAAAAAACAGGAATTGGATAAGAATGTGTCAGGTTATAGATGCCTAATTAAATACTATTGTAAAATTCATACAAATTATTCTTTTGCAACTATTAAAGATGGTATTACAGAGATGCTTCAAAGGCATGGGAAGATGTTCTTAAAATGTTGTAAGAGAAAAATCAGATCACAATACAACTTTCAAGTAGCATAGTTCCTTTTAAACATACATATTTTTGCACATAGGACAAGACATTATCATTAAATATACACTAGAGATTAACTCTGAAGAGTAGACTGAATCATGATTTGGTATACCTTCAACAGGTTCTCTGGATAACAGTTTTTGTCATTTTCTAAATGGACATGTATTGCTTTACAGCATACTAAAAATTCATTAAACAGTAAGTAACAATGGTATTAACTATGGTATTTTTTATAACAGAAATAATTAAAACAAAACCTGAAAATAGTCTTTAAAGTCCAGTAGTGGTGCAAATCATAAGGCAGCCACTAAAATACTATACAGTGTGTTTTAAAAAATGAAAAAATTAATGGTAAATTGTGTACATATAACTGGTTTTGTCTGGTGCTAAAATTTCTACTCTTTAAGAAAGTAGCTCCCCTCAGCAGTGTACTTCGGTCTTTCTGCCTGCTCTGCTCCCCGCTCTGGCTCTGGTGAATTCTCTCACCCTCCCGCGCTTCTGACTGTACCCAGTGCATGTATAAACACAACAAACAAACAAATAAATAAACATACCTCTATAAAATAAATAAATAAATAAAAAGAAATTTGTTGTAAGAAATTTGTTGTAGGATACAAGATTTAAGAATTACTAAAATTATTTCAATATCTGAAATTAGTTTCCTTCATCATATCAAACCAAAACCTCATAAATTAATAACTTAGTTTCATTTTTACATTTTAAAAACTGGAAGGAAATAATTGAATAAACAATCTTGAAAGAGGGCATTTATAAATATACATTTTCAATTATAGGTATATCTACATAAAAATTAGAAAAGCAATAAAAATAGGGGAAACACTTGTAATATGATGAAGTTATCAGTCCATAGCTTTTCAGAGCAATAGCTAAACTGGCAAAATAAAAACATATACAATAGTACTATGAAAATAAGAACTTTATACTGCTTCTTATAGATATATCTACATGTACAATGTATGGAGGGATATATATCAATGATTATCTCTGAATAAAAGATTACAAGTAATTGTAAATTCATTTTCTCTATGTACATATGTCAACTTACCTGTACAGACTGCTATAAAAAACTGATTTATACCATCTCTTTTCAAGAAAATGTTAATTTCTCTAATGTAACTTTGGGGTATTTAATGTCTACTTTCTTATCATGGGTTCACCTTCTAACTCTTCACAATGACTAATATCTCCTACTTTTTTGAACAGTTCCTCTTCCCAGCTTCCATTCAACTGACACTCTTGCTTCATTATTTAGTGACAATTTCGAATACTCCCTCATCATCTACCACAAATTCAATCAACCCATTAACAGTCCATTCTCTCTGCTCTTATCCAAAACCAAATCCTTCACTTATGCTCTGTACCCACATTTTTTGAGTAAGAAATTTGTCCTTGCAATTATATGTCCTCTATACTGCATAAAGTTCTCTTACAAGGTGAATCTCATAAGCACAAGTGTTTATGAGCAAAATACGGCATCTTAAGAATATAAGGAAAACCCCCCAATATTCTGATTGTTGATCAGCTACTTATTTTCTCAGCTCCATTAACTTATTGGAATAATAATCTCATAGCCACCCCATTTCCCCTTTGCAATCTCTTCTCAGACTACTCTGGACTTCTGTCTGCATGACAAGGGCACAAACTGCCCTTGAAGGGCTCCCCAAGAGCTCCCATGTTGCCCAAAACAATGGCCACATTGTCCTCACTCAATTTCATAGAAGTACTTACCATAATTGGCTGTTCTCTTCACCACTGATCCTCCTCAGTCGTTTTCTGAGCATCCTCCTCTGCTTACCCTGTTTATGTAGAAATAGAGGATGTTTTCAGGCCTTATACTTTCTCTATATATTCTCCCTAGGTGAATTCCTCTGTCATCTGTGTTCTAAGGCACCTCAAACTTATTTGAGTTAAGGTCATATATTCAACTGCCCATTTAACCTGTTCACCTAGATCCCTTACAGGCAACATGGAATTAACAAAACCCATCATCTCCACTTCATTTCCTGTATCCTTTGTCCTTGCCCCACCCAAATAAAACAAGATAATAAAAATTACCTGATTCCTCCATCAGTCTTCATTTTAATAATTGATACCAAATTCTGTTTTGTTTTTTTTTTTTAAAGATTTATCTTTATTTATTTATGCAAGCACTGGGTACAGTCAGAAGCGCGGGAGGGTGAGAGAATTCACCAGAGCCAGAGCGGGGAGCAGAGCAGGCAGAAGGACCGAAGGACACTGCTGAGGGGAGCAGCGGGCGGCAGGAGAGGTCTGCGCGCCATGTGGGACCCTCCTCCGGTGGCCGGGGAGCAGCCGGGTATCGAATCGGCGCTGCAGAGGCTACAGGCAACTTCGCAACCCAGCGCTCAACCGCTGTGCCACTGGGGAGGCCCAAATTCTGTTTTTTAGATCAGAAACTTAGAACTCAATCTTTATACTTTCCTTCCCTCGTATGTCATTAACCAGTCTCTTGTTAATGGATTAGATACACTCCATTATTTATTCACTTTTCTCTAATTCTACCAACCTATTTAAAAGCCACTATTCTCTCTTACCTGGCCATCCAAAATAACTATTTTGCTGGTTATTTCCCCCCTTTCTTTCTTTCTTTCTTTCTTTTTACAATAGCTGGGGTACAGGCCAGAGGCATGGGAGGGTGAGAGGATTCACCAGAGACAGAGCGGGGAGCAGAACAGGCAGACAGACTGAAAGCAATGCTGAGGGGAGAGGGGAGCAACCTGCCAGGCCATGTGGGAATCTCCCTGGCTGGCCGGGAATCGAACCCACGATGTAGAGGCTGCAGACAGCTTCACAGCGCTGCGCTCAACCTGCTGCGACACCGAGGAGGCATCCCCCTTTCTTTAAATACTTGCTTTATAGTAGACTGTCAACATATTAGCCAAGAGTCATATTTTTAAAATATAAATCCTTCTATGACATCCCCCTAATTCAGCGCTTCCAGTGGCTTCGCATCACACTCAAGATTCCAATTCTTGACCCTTGTCTTCCAAGTCCTGTATATTCCAGGTCCTTTTCCTGCCTGTCCTCAGTCCCTCCCACAACAGCACATACAGAATGTGCATTCCTGGGCCTCCCCGATAGTGCAGCCGGTTAAGCTCAGCGCTGTGAAGCTGTCCATTGCCTCTACAGAGCGGGTTCGATTCCCTGCCGGCCAGGGAGCTACCCACATGGCACGGCAGACCTCTTCTGTGTCGCCCACTGCTCCCCTCAGCAGTGTTTTTGGATCGTCTGCCTGTTTTGCTCCTAGCTATGTCTCTGGTGAATTCTTTCACCTGCGCTTCTGGCCTGTACCCCAGTTCTTGTATAAACAAATTAATCTTAAAAAAAAAAAGCATGTGGATTCCCAAAGACTTGTCTACACAAATGTTCCAATTCTAGGGTCAGCATGAACATGAGCTGAATTAGGTCCTTGAAAACTATTTAATTCATGTCTTTCGAATAAAATGACAAATTACTGTAAACCATTTATCATCTAAGATAAAGTACTATGAAAAAAATATTCAACCTCTTCTACACAAATGCTTGATTTAGCACTGTTGAAATAATTTCAGCATTCAGCTAAGTGAGGCTGTTAATGAGTATTTGGCCCTATTTTTATGCCCAAGTTTTATTTTTAGACATTTATTTTCTTCCCCAAAGCAGCAAAAATCTTCCACCTTGGATTAAACTGAAGTTACCCAAGTTGCAATCAGCATCCTTACAATAGGGCTCAAATGTTAGAAGCATCTTGTTCTGGTACATTTTGGCTGAATTCCAGATGTGGGGGAAAAAGGCAAAGAGAAGCAGCCTCTGTAATGGAACATGGCAAAAAGAAACGAGATGCTAAGATGAGTCAGATAGGAGAAAAGATTGAAGTCATTCTATAGTCATAAAGGGAAGAACAGAACAGCTACCCTGTGCCCATCTTAATAGCTACAGACCAAATTGACTACAGCCATCAGCGCTAATTGTGACAATGATGACAAACAGGTTAGATTCTCTAGCCTGCACATCAGTAACACTGGGAACTAGTCCTGGCCTCATAACTGCTGGCCTAGATATGACCAGAGCACGTAGCAAGTCAATTCTCTGAAAAACAAGACTGTTTCACATCACTCACATTATGAGAGTTGACGTTATGAATTCCTTGAGGAAAAGCAACTTCCAGGGAGCTATATTTTCCTCTGCATTGCTTTTAAATTCAGAGTCTCTCCACAGTGCTCATGGCACTCAGCCAATTTGTGAAAGAAGTCATAACAAAAGGAAAACACTTTGTAGCCTCCTAGGGATTTCTCCTTAGCATCCACTTAGATTTTAATAGGATTGACTTTTTTAGGTAGAAAAAAAGAACAAAAGAAGTATTTTAGGATTACTCTCTCTTTACTCAAAAAGTCCCCCCTGATGTTTTATAGTGAAATTCCACCCCTTGAGGATTCCTGTATTGGTTGAAACTTTGAATCTCTAGGGGTACTTCATGCTCTGTTTCTTTTTTTGACGGGGTAGAGTTCTTAGTGTTTTTGTTTTGTTTGGGGGGAAACCAGGATAATATGTGATAATTTATTTTGGGAAAGTACAGAAGTGCAGTTGTAGGGCAAGAAGAGTGAAGGAAAAGGGAAAATGAAACAAAACAGAAAGTAAAGTAAAGCAGATACTTGGGGGTGGTTGTCCTGCCACAGCTTTACAACAGGAACCCCTGCCACCTGCCCAGTCACAGGGACAATCTCCAGGGTCTTCTATAGATCCAGCACCTCAAACAATTCATTAGAAGAAGAGTGCAAAAGGAATTTCTCTAGGGTGGGAACCACCATGTTCTTCCTGGCTGTGCACCTGGCCCCTCGGGACAGTCACTTAGGATGCCAGATGTTCGGCCTCACTGTGTGGCAAGTTAAGTCTAGAAATAAAGGACAGGAAGCCACAGCCTCTGAAGTCTCCTCAGCTCTTACCTGGTTTCTGGCTATTGCAGTTCCCTCTGAGGTGGATACAATGGCCTCCCCAGGGGAAGTGGGGTCAGCTGCTGACATTTGGAAATGAGGCAATGGCACGGGAATGGGGGCCTCCTTTGCTCAACCAGTTGAGTCCAAGATGTAGGAAGGCCAAGAAAATCTAGGGAGGTTCATAAACTGGGTCCAATAAAAGTAGCTATTTAAAAAATGCTATACATTCTATCATATTTAATATATTAGCAGACCCACATCCCTTGTGATTGCTTTTATCAGTTCAGTTTTCATGCATGCATGGCTTAGCTACTGCTCCCTGCACACACACACCTGCAACTTTCCTGAGAGGGTTATACTCAGGCGATGGAAACCATGGTTCTGGGACTTATATTTCTTCCATACTCCCCAGCCCCAGTGGGGCTTCCAGACACAGACATCTGTGGTCCAGAACTCCCCTGAGAATGAGGTGGAAAATTCACTACCATGTCCTAGCTTAACTTCTTTCTCTGTCCCATCCTGCTTCCTACACTTCCTTACAGCTTTCTTCTGAAATCACTCCCTTATTAGTTGTCCATAAACACCCATCTCAGGTGAAGTTGGTCTCCCGGAAACAGATCCTGACACAAGCACTTGTACTGGAAGCTACACTATATGGGAGAATCCAAGGTACCTCTGTGCCCCCAAGGGCAATTTTCCACTTCAGGCTCCTATAAAAAAAATGTTTCTTTTTGTCAAACAGGCAGATCAGATAACCCTCCTCAATAGCCTCTATACAAGAAATAATATAACTGGGTTGAATTTTTTTTTTTAAGCAAGAATGGTGTTAAGCCAGCTCCCCCTATATCCCTCCTCTCCCCGGCCCCCCAAAAAATGCCAGGGTTAATGGGAAGACAGCAGGCATTGTGTGGAGTACACAAGGTAGTAGGCAATTGAACCAGATTCCATTAAGTGAAGTGGGTTTTGAACATGTACAGATGTAAGGCCAAGGATTTCTTGAAAATAGCCCAACTCTCCCTCTATAAAACACATTGATAGATGACCATGGCATGCAAATGCCTCTGGGAAGCCAGTCTGCAGTTTCTCTACACTTCTACTCCCATCAGTTTTGTGTTATCATCATTAAATAATTTAACTAAATGTTATGTTCATTGATTAAATGGCAGGACAAGACAAAGTTGGTGTTTCTCCAGCAACTAAGTTGAGTAAGATGAATGTTTAGGGAAGGCTAAATAAAAGCAATTCATGAAGGAGGGAAGAAAATTCTATTGGATTAGGTACAGCAGAAATAGTAGTAGTAGATTGAAAGCAAATTGTAAAGGTCTAGAGAGAGTTGGACTCTTTTATAACAATCTGAATGCAAAGTTCTCTGGCCACTTTCAATAAACAAAACCCAGAAATACTGGATGATGCATTATTTAGTTTGTGCAAGAAAGGTAATAAAAAAATCAAATAGTGGCCCAAACTCAGAACAAGGCCTTGAGCCCCTTCATTCAAAAAGCTAGCAGATGGACAGAATTTTATATATGTAAAGTTTTAAAACATTAAATATACATTTGGATATATATTATGTATATTCATATATATAACTATTTTTTTAAACTACTGATTTTGCCAGATGTAAGGATTTTGACTAAAGTAATGAAAGCTCTTAAATAATAATGTGAATTATTGTCACAGATAATGTGAAACAAAGTTTCTTTAACAGGAGCAGTAGTACCTGAACATTAACAAAATTGAGCTAAATTGTGATAGAAGGCTTCCTTCCTAATATTGACTTAAGTTTATCAATTAATTCAGATATCAGAATCTCATACTCTTATAGTCATGGTTGTTATATTTATTTAAATGTGTCTATTATATGG